CTCCCTAACCACTTGGCCATGCCGGGCCCAACTATCCAAATAATTGAAATATTACCATTCCTGTGGAAATACCCCAACAATAGCGCATACTATTTATGTTTAAAGTCATTAATTAATACTAGAAATAAATGACTTTATAATACCACAATGATGTTCTTATTTAATTATACATTACACGTTTCGCTTTACAGTATTCTTCCGGTTTGTGTTCTACTGAACGCTCCTGAAGAAGCTGTAAAGCGAAACGTAGAGTGTTTAATTAAATAAGTACAACATTTTGGTGTTATAAAGTCGTTTATTTCTGGTATCAGTATCTTCTATACACCAATATACACTACAGAAATTAAATAATGAACATCAATTATTTTCCCTTTAATACAACTCCAACAATGCTTCTCTAACACTGGCGCCCTCCAGTGGTAAAGCGGTATGTCTGCGGACTTACAACGCTAGTAACCGGGTTTCGATACCCGTGGCGGGCAGAGCACAGATAGCCCTTGTGCAGCTTTGTGCATAATTACAAACAAACAAACTAACACTGATTGAACGCTAAGTATTATTAGCGTGTGACTTGGGTGTAGGGGCGGAATTTTATTTTTATTTGTTATTTATTAAATTTTATTTATTTTTATATCAGCTATAATACCTTTCATATGAAATAAGTTGATTTTTGTAAGTTTTAATGTTTGAAGGAAAAATCTCAACTTTTTCGTCTTTAACCATGCCATTTGAAAACAGTGTTCCAGTGAATTACTTAGATGATACTGTATAAACAATAAACATACTGATTCTATTTTAGTTACCAATCTCCTCTAGGCTTATATATCATTTTCCTTCTCACGTGTTATCTTTGTTTTTCTTCACTTTTAATTTAAACAAGAACTACATTAACTTCATATTGACTAGGTCTCCTCGCCTTAATTAAACCATGAATACGTCACAAAATATTTGAAGAAAAACAAACCTACCAGTTTACCGCGTTTACTTAGATACCCTTCGAGTTTTGGCATACCAGAAAGAGACTTGCAACGAATTAGCCCTTGATTACTTGTCCTGAACATAGCTGTTAAGATTTAGTTTTTATCACTGTCTACAAAGTACAAGTAATATAGTTGTGCTTTCAACAAGACGTACACAGGAAATGAATTATGCACGCGGATGGGCGCAACCGTTCACTTCCTCTGTACAACTATAAAATTGTAATCACTTCGGGTTCCTTTATTACACCAAGGAATTAAACACGAAGTCTGATGTGTCAACATTTCGCAATAAACACAAATAACCATTTAAAACATATACGACTGAGTAAGAATAACACATCAGATAATGTCATTTTTTTTATGAATAACTGTAAACAAGTCCTGTCAAAGCGAAATTATATATAACTATGTCAATGACGTTTATATTTTCATAACGTCAGTGGCACTGATAACATCTTTAATCTTATCATTCTTCCAGCTAAATATGAAATATTTTGATAAATCATTCAGACGTATGTGAACATATACATTAGCTATAATATATACGCCTACCGATATCCGCCAACTCATGTGTCTTATTTTACACCAGTGTTTCTCAAGCGGATTTGCCAGACGACCCCCGCGTCCGGGCTTTGATCATCGCGACCCCAATTATCTGTACAAGGATGTAAAATAAGTTCGTCGTGGTTCATAACAAAGGTGATATGTGCACCTCTCGGACTCGTAAAAAAAAATTTGACTCAGCGCAGATAGCTCGTGACTCCGAAACCTGTTCGCATTTTCTTTAGGGATCGCGACCCACCGTTCGAGAAACACTGCCTTACATAATGCACATATTGTTATAACAAAAGAGGAATGACTTGTAAATACTCCATTACACAATAGGCCTAACTCGAAAAAAAAAGATTTTAACTTTAAAATGTAGGTAATGGTACAAAAGAAAAACTCTTCTGGAACAGAAAATAAATATGCTTACCAAAATTAATATACTAAACATAAAGAAAATAAGGAATAACTCAAATAACACGTAATGCTCCCCGATGACTTAGCGGTAAGGCTTATATAGTATTATTATTAGTAGTAATGTTTTCATAACAAACTCCACCCTACTGAAAAACAACATCCGCTGAACTTCAAAGAAAAGTCTTTATGGACACCTCCATCAAACAGAGAACCACATTTAGAG